CTGCAGTAGTACCTGCAGTAGTACCTGCAGTAGTACCTGCAGTAGTATCTGTGGCATCATGTTTGTGAGCAGTAACTTCCTCACTGAGTCTGAAGTGTGAGGGCGGGTTTAAGCTGCAACCACAGTTGTTCATTGGGTGACTTGTCACAGCTTGTCAGAATTACAATTGGGAGGTTTGAGTTCTGTCATCTGTCTATCCAGAAGTCTGCGTAGAGTATCTTGTGACTGCACAACGAACACACTTCTGTCTCTTATTAAAGCTGCGTGATTTCTGCGTCAGCGCTCAGCGAGTACTGCTGATTGAATTTATAATCGCAGCGTGGAAATGTCACCATGTATGTGGCGTGCTTTTACCATAAAGTGTGGCTCATATTTAATGACATGCTGGTTCGAATGTTCGTGCACGATCCCTTCAGCTCCTTTGTCTCGCTGCCAGGCCTCCAGTGATTCCTGTGAGCCTCCACGTCTCGCTTCACTTCCACTTAAAACTGTGAACGTGAAAAGGAAAAAGTGGTCCGGTTTTGCTTCTTTGCACCGTCAGGATTATTTATTCCTCTACGCCGACTTGTGGGAACTGAAATGTTCCTCTTCAGGCTGCCAGCTGAGCAGGGAGGAGGCTTTCTGCAGGAGAGAGAGGGCAGACGTGTGTCTCGTCATGTTGGCATAATCACAGAGCTGCTGAAGAGAGACCAGCGAGGCCTCTGGAGTGTTATTAGCTTGAGCTGCAGATGATAGCCCACGCTGTGTGATTAAAAGCTTTACATTGTGCTCCTCCAGGTTCCCTGACGGAGAGCCTGAGACGCATTATTCAGCGCCTCCTCCTCCAGGAGGAACCAACCCGGACTCCAGACTCAGAGCTGGTCCCGTGAGCCACGGACCCACGTCGGCCTCCCACAGTCTCTCAGAGGTCGTCCTCCCTCCACCCGAGTGCCCGGAGGTCGACTACGACTCCCACGAGTCCCTCGCCGGTTCCCAGAGCGAACTCCTCACCCGCTGCTCTCCTCACCCCGACCCCGACCCCGACCCCGCCCACTCTGCAAAGGGAGCCTCGGAGCAGGGCAAAGGACTTGTGGACAAAGGACAAGGGGCAGCGCATCATCTATCCGCGTCCAATCCTCGGCCGGCCTCGACTCCCCCTCTCAGACCTCCGGGGCTGGTCTCCATGATGGAGGAGCAGCGCTCTCCATCTCCTCACTTTTCTCCTCAGAGACTCAGTGACAAGCCTCCGGTGTCTCTGCAGGTAGAAGACTCAAACAGGTAAAGAAAGAGTTTTTCTTCTTCTAGCTGCAGCTGTTAGTCAGAACACGACTCTAACTCCTCGTGTAGTAGAAGTATTTTATGCAGCCAGTTTGTGTACTTTATAGTAGACTGACTGAAAGGACGCAGGCAGAAGTGTAACGCTTGTATATGTAATTCTACATTCTGATCAAATTGCGCTACCGTCAAGAAAAGTACAATCAAATAACTTGTAACCCCCCAAAAATAGCTTTAGAATAATAATACGTTTTATTGTATATAAAAGGTACTCAAAGACACTTTATGGTAAAAACAATAGAAACATTTACATTATAAACAAAATAGATGACGTAACATTAAGGAACGCCACGAAAACACACTTTACAATAAAACCGTTAAAAAAATTAAAGTGAGTTACACATCCTGACATCTCTGTTATACACAACAATATAAATACACGTTTTGTGTTTTGCTTTTTTGTTCGCTAAACTTACAACCATGTCTCATAAATCATATTCACACTCGCGTACTGGTCCTCTGTGTCGTCTCGCTACCAGCACAAAGGAGCTCATTGAGAGTCATTTAAAGGACTAGCTGGTGTCGTCTGGAGTGAACTTCTGACTCGGATCATTAGTGGTGGGAGGAGCCGTCCAGATGTCTACTGGGCATGGACAAAAAGCATCTCAGTGTCCATCAAGCAACGTTTAAATGTGCTGGAATAACAGAGGGAACATTTCTTAGATCTTCTATTTAAACGACTCTCTCTCTCTCTCTCTCTCTCTCTCTCTCTCTCTCTCTCTCTCTCTCTCTCTCTCGCTCTCTCTCTCTCTGATCTTTCAGGACGGATCATGTGATAGAAGACCAACATTCTGCAGTGAAGAAGGTTCCCATCAGGATCGTCCACTCGGAGGGCGTCTCAGAGAAGGACACTTGTCCCTATCTGCAGCACAGCGACCCCCCCGCCGCCGCCGCCGCCGCCGAAGCCGAGGGTCCCGGCGTGATCCGGCTCGGCGGTCTGGGAGCCGCGGGGCAGGACTCGGTCTTCTGTGCATTCACTCGGCAGAAGGAACCCAACAGGACGCCGGAGGCCCGGACGGACGCGTACATGACCACCGTCACCGGAGATCACGTCAACTCTGACGGCCAGCAGACAGAAACCACACGGCTGTCTGAGGACCGCAAGAGAGAGGAGCTGGCCAAGAGCATCATGGGAAAGGATAAATCACTTGCTGATATTCTGGACCAGAGCAAGATGAAGACCACCATGGACCTGATGGAGGGCATCTTCCCTCAGGAGGAGCAGCTGTTAGAAGGAGCTCACCAGCGCAGGAAGGTCAGCCGGCCTGCTGAGGAAAGGTCAGCCTCTATACCTGTGATCAGCTGGAGGACTTAAAGAGACAGTCTTGATGTTCTGTAGTGTGTGTGTGAGGTTCTCCTCCACAGTCAGGGTTCTACTACAGTAGATGAGTTGATAGAACCAGCACGGGAGCAAAGTGATGTTCTGCTGTGGACGTATGTTAGACTCCTAACACAATGTCTCTCAGTTGAAGTGAAGCTATATTCAGAATGTCTTCAGCTCTTTACCTTGCTGTCAGACAGACCTTTCTGAGGGGAACTCAAGCTGTTATCTATGATCTCTACAAACACACCAGACTCCATTCACTCAAACACTGACTCTACCTCTCAGGACACAGGAGCTGCTGCTCTCCTGCTGTCTTGTTCTAAATATAGCGTTCACTTAAACTGAGAGACATTCTTTTCGGAGTCTAAAATACGTCCACAGCCACCAGTGTGACCTCACCTTATCGATGATGTCATTGATCCGCCCCTCCTCCACACTCCTCTTCAACGTCTGAGCCGTTTCCACGACGGACTCCGACAGCTTCTTTCAGGCGCTGCTGGCCAAATTATAAATGAATCCTGCAAAAACAAAAGAAGCAACGGACATAATTGAGGTTTACACAGATCCAAATAGACTAAATACAGGACACGTGTAGACCTGGTCCAATGTGGTCTAGATAAGGAAACGGTGAAATCTCCCTGTTTTTGGATTTACACAAATAGAATAAAGTTTACACAAATCTGAAACTCTGTTTTAAAGACTGTTTGGCTACATTGTGATAATCTAGTCCAGATTGGACCAGTCTAGGTGTAGTGGTTTGCCCTGGACCTGGTCCAATGTGGTCTAGATGTGAAAAAGAAAGCAAAAAAACTGTGAAATCTTCTTTTTCTTTGCATTGTCATAAATCAAGCTGCTGCTCTGCTGCTGCCTCCATCTGTTACTGAGGTTGTGTTGTTGTCACTTTAGTGAATCCTTTGAAACTGTTTGTGTTTCAGGGAAAAGGAGGACAGCATGGCAGCAGCTGTCACCATGGTGACCAGCTCGACGTATTACAGCACATCTGCCCCCAAAGCTGAGCTCCTTATCAAGATGAAGGACATGCAAGAGCAGCAGGAGGAGGAGGAAGACTCCGAAGACGAGCTGGACATCGATCTGGCCAACAAGAAGGTACCAAACACTCACTGAACACGTTCATGTGGACTCTGTGGGCATCGGCTCGGAAAGTTTAGATCACAAACAGAGATTTATTCATCTCGTAACTCATATAACTTTATAATATCAGGTATGGAATTAATCTGATTCTCCGATTCTGCTAATGTCAGTTTTTTAACCAAAACAATGTGGCCTGCAAAGGACTAGATGCGGCTTGTTTTTAGCCTAACGTTAAAAAAGAAGAAGAAAAGAAGAAAAACACCTTCCTCAATCACGGATGACTTCAGTTTATCCTTTTATTCATTCATTCACTCAGAATGACAGCGAGGTGGAGGATGGGTTTGGGTTGTGTTTTAACAATTTTCTGCTCATATTTGCCAATGTATCTACATAGACGTATTCATATTGTAAAGATTTGTTTACAATATGATTTGTTTACAATACGTCTGATGCTAACGTTAGCATCCGACGTCTGGATCTTAAGTTATCAGAGAAACAAGCTGAGCTAACGTTAGCATGACCACTGGAACATGAAGACAACAACTCCCATGATCCCACGCTGCTTCACCACGTCACCAAACTACGTCTGTTGTTATTGTTTTGATTGAGGGACAGAAGATGACATGTTGTGCGTCAGTAAAACAGTTTATTTTTGAAGCGTAAATCACCAGAACCACGACAGGTTTTTGGAGATACAGTCATGAATGAGCTAAAGAAATATCAGGCTGATGGATCCAGTAGTTAGTGAGATTATACGTGGACAGACGGACAGACACACACACATTTGCAACTGAGCGCATGATCTCCCCTCCCGTTTACGCCTGAGTTTTTAAGAATCTCGTCTGTTTTTCCGTTCCCATCCGCAGCAAGAGCTGATTGACAGCCTCAGCAAGAAGCTCCAGGTGCTGCGCGAGGCCCGGGAGAGTCTTCAGGAGGATGTCCTGGACAACAACGCCCTGGGAGACGAGGTGGAGGCCCGAGTCCAGCAGGTCTGCAAACCCAACGAGCTGGACAAGTTCCGGATGTTCGTCGGGGACCTGGACAAGGTGGTGAGCCTGCTGCTGTCGCTGTCGGGCCGCCTGGCCAGAGTGGAGAACGCCCTCAACAGTCTGGAGGAGGACGCAACCGCGGAGGAGAGGGTGAGTACATGTTCACCTGGGAAATATAAAGCTTCATTTATTCTCACCGTAGTGAAGAAGCTGGGGCACGAAACTGGGAAATTACGTTATAGCTGCTGCAAGTGGTCGCATCCATAAACATATATGTTTATAAGAAGTGGACGTAGTCGTCGTGACGTCTCTCATTAGTTTGTGGACATTTTGAAGCCTCGAGTTCAGCATTTTGGCCGTCGCCATCTTGGCTTTTTGCAACCAGTGAACAGGAAGTGACCATATCTGGACTGA